TCCTTGGTCCACAATCAATGATCACGAAAGCAACAGCCAAGAGATCAAAAGATGAGCTACTAGGTAAAAATGCTGCCCAAGACCAGCTTACAGTGTTGTCAAGCAAGGGTGTCATTCTGAGGACTAACCATGTTGCTTTGGCCTCAGCCGGGGAATTCTCACTCTCCTCATATGCATCTGAAAGTTGGACATTGACTAAGAAAGCTCTAAGAACCATGGATGCGTTTGAATTTATGGTGCTGGCAAAGACTATTGAAATTAACATGGGCTGCCAAAAGAAGAAATCTGTCTTGGAAGAAATACAGCCAGAGTGCTCCTTAGAAGCAAGGATGGCAAGACTCCATCTTACATACTTTAGACATGTTATCAGGAGAGATCAGTCCCTGTAGAAGGGCATCATGCCTGGTAAAGTAGAGCGGCAATAAAAAGAGGAAGTCCCTCATTTGGCACAGTGGCTGTAACATTGGGCTCAATTGTGAGCATAGTAAAGGACTGGGCGGTGTTTCATTCTCTTGTGCATCGTTTCCCTCTGAGTTGGCACCAACTTGATGGCACCTAACAACAGCCTGAATCAAATGACATCAACTTACACTGATTTTATGCCCTGGTGGCATAGTGTTACATCTTGTTAATTCATACCGTTACTTCTAAAATTCTTGTCTGGATTTGAAAGTGAATATTCAGAAGTTAACAAATCGAAATGTGATTCCTTAGTTTTATGATTGGAATCATTAACATGAATTAAGATAGGTTGGAAACCCACTGATGATTTCACACACAAATTCAGGACTGGATGACACAAATAATGCTCAAGTAACTATTATCCAACCAGTTGAATGTCAAATAACTGGTGAGATTTTAAGGGTAGTCTTACATACTTGTGAAAGAATATTTAATTTTCAAGTCAGTAAAGAGAAACTAGAATAAATAAAATACATACATAGTAAATGAGTAAGAAGTATAACAACAACAAAGCTAAATAGCACGAAATAAGATGGCAAAAAGTACCAGATAGGTACACTGGTGAGCCTTGAGCAAACGGTATTTTCATTACTAAATTATTGGGTTTGAACTACATAAGGGAAATCTCAAGGCCCTCCCCCTGTACACACAGAGCGAAAAAACAACTGTGCTGAAACAAAAGCAGGAAAGGAACAGGAAGCACCAGACCAGAAGCCAGTTTGAAAGGTTTGGGGGGTGTTGCCCTGAAGGGAAATGCCCCTGTTGCTTTAGGTGCCATTGAGTAAGGCTCCAATTGACATTGACCCCTCCGTACAACAGAAAGAAACACTGCCTGATCCTGCACCATTCTCGCAATCATTGTGCTTCTGCAGCCACTGTGTCACGCCGTGTTCTTGGGAGTTTTTCTCTTTTCACACTAACTCTCTACCAGCATATCCTTCTCCAGGGAATGGCTGGTCTCTCCAGATGTTTCCCAAGTATGTATGAGTCTCACCATTCGAGCTGCAGATGTAGTAGGTTTTGTGTCCACTTTGCTGGTGTAGGATTGTTAGTGGTTTGGCAGTTGAGGCCCACTAATCCCTCATGATGTGACCTAACACCATGTAATCAACCCCATAATGGGATCTGCTGCGAGCAATCAAGCAGTTGAAGTAAGACTTGAGTGGAGTGCAACCCCCGACACAGGTCACAGCCCTCATGCAATTGAAAGGAAATGTCCTTGGAGGTGTGGTCGACTTCCTATATAGGAATGCTGGGAGAAAGCTTGCTTGCTTTTTGCGGTGTCTGGATACTCCATCTGGTTTGTCAGCCTCCGGTTCTTTGAACTTGAGCCAACAGCCTTCCATATTGCCTACTGATCCCAGGAGCCATCAGCAGCCTGCCACCTGACCAGTCAACCTGAGATTCAGTCACCTTTCCAGTCACAAACCTGACTCTCTGGCCTTGAATTCATCGACCTCAGTAGCCTATGGTGTTCCTGCTAATCCTGCGTGCATCCATCCCCTACGGTACATGAGTTTGGAGAAGCCCTCCAGCTTCACATGTGACCCACAGATTTGAAACTGGTCTGAACATACCCGTTTGTTTTTTCAACATACCCATTTCTACAACTATGTGAAACATTTTCTTGATATAAATTTCTCTTTAAATCATGTATCAATATATCTGCATATCTCATTGGTTTTGCTTCGCTAGAGAACCCTAACACAACAGATTTGTTCAAATCTGGCAGCAACTGTCACTCCTACAGCACTCTACTCTTCTGCTGGGTCTGCTAATCTGTGACAGTGGCCACACAGACATCATCGATAACACAAGTGTGTGTGGGGGCGGGG